TACCAGCAGATGTACAATATTCAATGAAACATTGTCATGAAAACAGCATGTGTTGGTATTGCACAACATGCTGATGATGAATGTGTGTGTGTCGATGCTACCATTGATTAGTTCTGCATTGTTTTCTCAGCGCAAACTGAGCACAAAGTTTCCTCTTTCATGCAACTTTTAAAGTTTAATGTCATCCTGACCTTCTGTAAACTATTTAAAAGAAGAACTCCTGAAGGCTTTGCTGAAGATCTCACATCATCGTGAAGCTAAAGTTAAAAAAGAAGTGATTCAGCTGCCGCCCGAAAGTTAACAGGAATTATTTATTTTATTATTTATCAAATTCAGTCATTATACAGAGTATTATTCATATTGTTTATTAAATTACCCATTAATTATGCCTTATTAATGTCTACCCCAACCCCAACCCTAAACCTAAACCTCACAGTAATGTAAAAACAGTCATTATACAGAGTATTATTCATATTGTGTATTAAATTATACAGAATAAATTAGCTTTATTAACGTCTACCCCATCCCAACCCTTAAAACAATGTAAAAACTGTGAATATACTAAGTATTATTTATTAAATTTCCCATTAATTCTTATGTATTAATGTCTCCCCTACCCTAACCCTACTGCTCAAAGTAAAGGAAAAACAGTCATTATACTCAGCATTATTCATTTTATTTATTAAATTACCCACTAATTGGATTTTTTAACATCTACCCATAGCCAAAACCCTCACAGTAATGTAAAACAGTAAATATAATGAGTATTATTCATATTATAATTACCCATTAAAATGTATTTTATTAATGTCTACCCCTATCCTAACCCCAAATCTAAACCCCACAGTAATGTAAAAACAGTCATTCTACAGAGTATTATTCATATAATTTATTACATTACCAATTAAATTTGTTTTATTAACATCTCCCCCTACCCTAACCCTAAACCCAACTCTTAAAGTAATGTAAAACAGTCAAGTCAAGTCAAGGTTTATTTATAAAGCGCTTTTTAAAAAGAACAAGTGCTTACCAAAGTGCTGTACACACACATACACCATCTAAAACAAAGGACAAATAAAACACAGACACATGACTCTCATATAGTATTAAAAGCCAAAGAGTAATAGTGGGTTTTAAGACTAGATTTAAAAACAGAAAGGGTTGCGGCCTGTCTAACACGGAGAGACAGTTTATTCCAAATTAAATTACCCAATAAATTAGATGTTATTAACGTCTACACCATCCCAACCCTTAAAACAATGTAAAAACTGTAAATATACTAAGTATTATTTATTAAATTTCCCATTAATTCTTATGTATTAATGTCTCCCCTACCCTAACCCTACTGCTCATAGTAATGTAAAAAACAGTCATTATACTCAGCATTATTCATATTATTTATTAAATTACCCATTAATTGTATTTTATTAACATCTACCCATAATCAAAACCCTCACAGTAATGTAAAACAGTAAATATACTGAGCATTATTCATATTATTTATTAAATTACCCATTAAACTGTATTTTATTAATGTCTACCCCTATATCCCTAAACCTAACCCTCACAGTAATGTAAAAACAGTCAAGTATTAATCATATTGTGTATTAAATTACCAAATAAGTTATATTTTATTAACGTCTACCCCATCCCAACCCTTAAAAACAATGTAAAAATTGTAAATATACTAAATAATTATTTATTAAATTTCCCATTAATTCTTATGTATTAATGTCTCCCCTACCCTAACCCTACTGCTCATAGTAATGTAAAAACAGTAAATATACTCAGCATTATTCATATTATTTATTAAATTACCCATTAATTGTGTTTATTAACATCTACCCATAGCCAAAACCCTCACAGTAATGTAAAACAGTAAATATACTGAGCATTATTCATATTATTTATTAAATTACCCATTAAACTGTATTTTATTAATGTCTACCCCTATCCTAACCCTAAACCTAAACCTCACAGTAATATAAAAACAGTCATTATACTAAGTATTAATTATATTGTGTATTAAATTACCAAATAAATTAGATGTTATTAATGTCTACCCCATCCCAACCCTTAAAACAATGTAAAAACTGTAAATATACTAAGTATTATTTATTAAATTTCCCATTAATTCTTATGTATTAATGTCTCCCCCTACCCTAACCCTACTGCTCAAAGTAATGTAAAAACAGTCATTATACTCAGCATTATTCATTTTATTTATTAAATTACCCATTAATTGTGTTTATTAACATCTACCCATAGCCAAAACCCTCACAGTAATGTAAAACAGTAAATATACAGAGTATTATTTATATTATAATTACCCATTAAAATGTATTTTATTAATGTCTACCCCTATCCTAACCCCAAATCTAGACCTCGCAGTAATGTAAAAACAGTCATTCTACAGAGTTTTATGCATATAATTTATTACATTACCAATTAATGGTTTTATTAACATCTCCCCCTACCCTAACCCTAAACCCAACCCTCAAAGTAATGTAAAACAGTCGTCAAGTCGAGTCAAGGTTTATTGATAAAGCGCTTTTTAAAAAGAGCAAGTGCTTACCAAAGTGCTGTACACACACATACACCATCTAAAACAAAGAACAAATACAACAGACAGAATTCCATTTACCCCCCCCCCCTCCCCCCTCCCTGCCTGGTTTTTTAACCTTGCACGTGGAACAGCCAAAAGTAGCTGATCAGTACATCTAAGTGCCCTTGATGAAGTGTACTAATTATACTGTATGTCATTATACTAAGTATTATTTATATTGTGTATTAAATTACCCAATAAATTTGATTTGATTAACATCTACCCCATCCCAACCCTTAAAACAATGTAAAAACTGTAAAAATACTATATTATTTATTAAATTTGTAAAATCTCAAAGTAGTGTAAAAACAGTCATTATACTGAGCAAAATTCATATTGATTATTAAATTACCCATCATTTGTATTTGTATTTTATTAACATCTACCCATAGCCAAAACCCTTACAGTAATGTAAAACAGTAAATATACTGAGCATTATTCATGTTATTTATTAAATTACCCATTAAACTGTATTTTATTAATGTCTACCCCTATCCTATCCCTAACATTAAACCTCACAGTAATGTAAATACAGTCATTATACTAAGTTTTATTTATATTGTGTATTAAATTACCCAATAAATTAGATTTTATTAACGTCTACCCCATCCTAATTCTTAAAAACTGTAAATACACTAAGTATTGTTTATTAAATTTCCCATTAATTCTTATGTATTAATGTCTCCCCCTACCCTAACCCTACTGCTCAAAGTGATGTAAAAACAGTCATTATACTGAGTATTATTCATATTGTTTATTAAATTACCAATTAATTGTGTTTATTAACGTCTAGCCATAACCCAACCCTCACAGTAATGTAAAACAGTAAATATACTGAGTATTATTCATATTATTTATTAAATTACCAATTAATTGTATTTAATTATTGTCTACCCCTATCCCCTATATTATACTGAGTATTATTGTATGAGTGTGTATGGTTGCTTCCCAATACTGGGTTGCAGCTGAAAGGGCATCCGCTGTATAAAACATATGCCGGAATAATTGGTGGTTCATTACACTGTGGCAACCTCTGAATTTAATTTAAATGAATGAATGAAAAGGTCGACTAACTTATAAAAACGTGTGTGAAGAGAAAACAGAAATGCAAGCTGGGACTCGAACCAGTGACCTTAGGCCACTGTCCTAACCCCTGAGCCACCGTGCCCCATTATTTACACAATAGATGTTTAAAAAAGTCATATGGTAAGCTAAATTGACCATAGTCAGTGGCGTACTGACCCCACTTTTCCCTCTATAGTTTGTGATCGGCACCCTAACCCCAAACCCCCCCGGTCCTCTTTTTTAGATCGCTCCACCACCACCCACACCCCGCTCTTCTCCAGAGGGCCCCATCAATAATCCGTGCAGGGGGGGCTGTATTTTGCGCAACGCTACTGGCCGTAGTGTGTGTGTGTGTGTGAATAAGTGTGTTTGGGTGTTTCCCAGTACTGGGTTGCATACAGAAGGGCATCCTCAGTGTAAAACATATGCTGGAATAGTTGGCGGTTCATTCCGCTGTGGCAGCCCCTGAACACTGTCAGAAAAAATGTGCAAAATTTGTACCTTTTGGGGTACAATGGCTTGTCACTGGGGCAGTACCCTCAAGGGTACACCTGTTGTACCCTTTCACATGGGTACATATTTGTACCCTAGCAGTATGTACCTTCATGGGTCAAATATGTACCTCTGCTGCCTAATTTGTACCTTACTTGGGCTATGGTACAATAATGTACCTTTAAAAAAGGTACAATTTCTCCTCCATAGGGATGAATTTTGTACCCTTTCATTTCAGATTTGTACTCCATACACAATAAATTTCATTTATCACATTTATTAAACATATTAAATATCAACATTTTTACAGGATGAATGTTTAAACATTACATCATTTTAAAAGAATAAAAAGCAATCTTTTTCCATGAGTACAAACTGCACGATAATTGTAATTTTATACCTGTAACATTTTATCACAAACACACATGGAAAGATTCAAAACAATTACATTGTCACCTTTTTAGAAGATGAAAGTTTTAAACTATCACAAAGTCATACCAGATGCATAAACTTAAAAAATAGCTGCTTAAACATTTTAAAACATTTTATAAAACAGCAAAAAAACTTAATATTATTTTTTTAACATCAGTGCATCCCATTTCACTGAGCATTTTTACCAATGTAACAAAGTAATTTTTCTAAAACAACAGTAGACCTAATAAAGTACATTTTTGTTAGTGCACTGCATTCTACATTTTCTAAAAGCATCAAGAATCTCAAAGCAATCTTTTTTCCATACAGTACATTGAAACATGTCACTTAAAGTATACCCTTAATCATTTTAGATCTCAAAAACACTTTTGATCAAACAGTTTTACACATTTGATTTGAAATTTCAAAACATTCTTAAGAAACATTTTATCAGAAGAGTATGTTTCAAGAGCCTGAAAGTCCGTCTGTCTTGGTTTATAACACCCCATTCAAAGTCAAACTCTTACTGTATTTGCATGGAAATATGAATCATACAACAGCAGAATTAAAAACTTGCTACACAGAAACCAGTGCAGTATTGACATTTAAAATGTATTTCATTAGGAAAGAGTAATTTCTTCTCCATTAGCGGTCTCACATGCACACGAAAACAGTTCAATTTGAACACCTGAATGTGTCAATCTCATCAAGGATGTTGGGCGGAGAAAATTCTTAGCATTGTTTCATCTTGTGCTTCTCAGTTGATTTGGGCAATGTTATTGAAATGTCTATAGCTGCTAGTCTTAAAATACTGATGCAGACTCGAAACGCATGCACCAAAGTAAATGCAAAGATCCAAGCATTGCTGTTTGATGCAGACCCAGCAATACCAGTTCTCTCGGACAGCTGCACTGAGTTGTTTTTCTTGTAATTTTGGATCTCCATCTTCACACCGTTGCTGACGTTCAAATTTAAATTGTTGTTCCATCTTGGGGAGTTGCTGATGTTCATCCTTTGCATTCTTTATGTAGCGTGGATAAGCCAAGTTGAAAACACAGTAAACGGCGAAGGATGTAATAATGCCTCTAAAACGGACTTTCAGCCATCTGTAGAGTTGGGTATGGAGCATCATCATCATCCCACTGTAAAAAGAAAAAGTAAAGGACATCAATAAACAATGTAAAATCTGTCAGAACTGCATAACATCTATCAGAGTATTACAAAGTGTTTAACCAACAGTACCCAAACCTCTTCCAGTGTAATTACTGTAAGCAATCATCTTCCTCTTTAAGAATATGGGGGAGCAAAATTAGAGCAGCACGAAAGTCAGAATCTATTGCAAAATAAAATCATCCATCCATTTATTTTATTTTCGGCTTAGTCCCTTTATTAATCTGGGGTCGCCACAGCGGAATGAACCTCCAACATATCCAGCATGCGTTTTACACAGCGGATGCCCTTCTAGCTGCAACCCATCACTGGAAAACACCCATACACACTTATTCACATACTATGGCCAAATTAGCTTACCCAATTCATCTGTACCGCATGTCTTTGGACTTGTCGAGGAAACCGGAGCACCCGGAGAAAACCCACGCCAACATGGGGACAACATGCAAACTCCACACAGAAATGCCAACTGACCCAGCCGAGTCTCAAACCAGCAACCTTCTTGATGTGAGGCGATCGTGCTACCCACTGCGCCACCGTGACAACCTAAAATAAAATAAAGACAAATAATGAAGTACTCTTAAATAATTTAATAATATAAAGGACCTGTTTTTAAAATAAAGAAAAAAATATTGGAATGTTTAGCAAATGCTGAATAAAAGATATTGATGTATTTTTATGAATTACATTTTTTTAAAGAAAAACATTAAGGAATGTTCTCTATATAAAGGGTTTGTATATAAGGCCCATGAGTTTGAACTTGCTAAATGCAGCTTGAAAAGGCACTTAATGATCACATCCAAAAAATAAGGGTTTGATCTAGCAAAATTATTATTACGTAAGTTTTATGTTAATACCTGTTAGATCATCTGCAAACTTCTATTCTCTTGCTTTTTTGTAGACTTTGGCCAGTGGAGATGCTTTTTTTCTTAATCAAGCTCAGGCACCTTTAGCACAAGCTGTCCTTGAAGCTCTGACTTGGTTGGAGATGGTTGATGAATGCATTCAGTCAGGTTCACCATTACTATAATAAACAAAAAGGAAATTAGTGATTCACTTTAACTAAAAAAATTATCTAATATTCTTTGTTGCCATTTCCCTTTAGTTATCATTGTACAAATAGTTGTAAGCTTGAATGCACATATGTTCACCACAAAGCTTAAAAATTAATTTTTTTTTACAATAGTCATAACATTTATAATAGTCATTTGATCCTACACTTTGGCTATTACTGACATTAAACTTTTCATTTAAATTGAGAACTGATTTAAAATGTGTGATCTCACTGACAAGGGTGTTTTTAATAAAGGGTCACACACCTTATTTCACTGGATACACAGGACATTCGCATTACTCTCAAAAGATGATGCATCCTCACCAATTGCAGGAATCACCTATTGGATCAAATATAAGTCCATAATAATGACAATCATAAAAATTCAAATATAACTTTAACACTTCACCTAACAGTTTCATAGAAAAAAGGAGATTAAATTTAAGACTGCACAATGAATTCCTGGGGGAAAAGTATACACACACACACACACACACACATACATAATATATATATAAAAAAAAAAAAAAAAAAAAAAAAAATATATATATATATATATATATATATATATATATATATATATATATATATATATATATATATATATATATATTATCAACAAACAGATAAAATACTAAATACTTACGTTATTACACTCTACTGCTTCCTCGTCCACTTCATTTTCTGAAAGAAAAAAAATTATGATCGTTGTGAACTTGAGGTTAACAGCAAAAAAAAAAAAAAAAAAAAAAAGCTTTAAATTAGAAACTTTGATAAATGACCCGCACCTCGATCTGACACGACAGATGATTATGACTCTCTTGGACATGCATTTATAACGTTATTTAAATATGTAACGTTCCAAAATACAACTGCTATAAATGGACGTGGGTCAAGATATGCATAAACTAACGTTAAAGTTATATTGTTTCAGACATAAAGGCATTCACTTCACTCCTTTCCGGAGTAAACATGGACGGTAGCATGGACGTTAGCTTCCCAACACTAAGGAAATTCTGAGTTTATAAATAACGTATGCAATAAAGACTTAACCACATTATCCAAACAAAACTAACTTAAATGTGTTTGAACTGTTTCTCTGGACGTTTCACCGCTGTTTTGCCAGTGTCTCGAGCTCTGTCTCATGGCCAGGTTATGTAAAAAATCATATTTTAATTTCTGGTCAACCTTAAATTACAAAAGGGTCCCCTCACGCGGCAGGTAACTTGACGGTAACGTTAATCTTAACTACATACACAAGGCAAAGTAACGTCAAATATGAATTGAATATGACCCAACGGATATTTACAATAAGTTATTTAACATTAAACTTGCCTGCAAATGTCTGTGCTTCGTCTTCCAGCTTCTTTGCGTCCTTCAGGTCCATCCTCCATCGACGCCGAGAAGAGCGTCAGAACAACAGTGCAACAGCTGGAGATTAACCGTCACACGTAATCAGATGGCATTATGAATGCACGGCGCGGGCAAAAATCCTATTGGACAACACGAATTCAAATTTGCTGGCTGCTAATGCTAAGTGAAAGTCAATGGACAATGCCCCGCTGTGCAGACCCGCAAGTTAAAAAAAATATCATCTAATGTTTCACAAAATGTAGTTTTAAGAGTATTTCAGGCGAGAATGTAGTTGTTTTAAACTCGAATCGGCAGTTTATTTAAAAAGACAGCGCTTCTTTGACAATGTGCTTCAGTGAAAGCGGACTCTGTCAGCGGGAGCTTTATGATTCTCTCCCCCGCCGACAGCAGCTTTTACTTCGGCCAGTCAATCTCGCATCTGCCGCTGGATTCAATCTCCCTCTTGTAGTTAAAACACGATATTTATTACATTTTGTGTATATCTAACGGCCAGTTTTTGGTCTTTTAAATCTATTATTTGTTCTCAGCTGTATTATTTTGGCAGTATTATTCTGTTACGTTTTAAAATTGTTTTATTAATTAATTTATTAATACTACAAGGTTGCACTTTGTCTTTGTTTACCAAGCTGGTTACCTTTAATTCCTATTGTATTCATCTACTTTATAGTTGTATGTCCATTCTAGTAGTTTATTAAATCTGATAATCAAAGAAAGGTCTGTGTATAATTAGCCATTTCACTTTACATTTAGGGGGATTTATGTTAACATTTTCTTAAATCAAAAATATTAATTTATAATATTTATAAGGCCATGTTTTATATAATTAAATAATTTAATTTATAATGTACAGTTTTTTTGTGTGCATTTCTTCCAAATAACCAACAACTCATGACATAAATTAAGGACCATTTCATACACGTTGACTTGCTCCTTTTTCACACAAGTGATTGTACCTTTCTTTGGGCCTTAAATGGCCCAAACATGCACCCTTTGACAGTTGGGAACATATTTGTACCTTTTTTACCCTTAAATGGTACATATAAGTATCTTAGGGTGCTACTTTGAACCATTGAGGGTACAACTTCACCATTTGTACCCCAAGTGTTCACAAATGTACCCCAACCGTACCCTTTTTTCTGACAGTGAAGAATAAAGGGATTAAGCTCAAGGAAAATGAATGAATTAACATTGTTTTTATATAGAAACTTTGTTTAGTTGTTTGTTTAGTTTCAGGGGTCGCCACAGCGGAATGAACCACCAACTACTCCAGCATATGTTTTACACAGCGGATGCCCTTCCAGCTGCAACCCTGTACTGGGAAACATCCATAAACTCTCACATTCATAAACTGCGGCCAATTCAGTTCATCAGTTCCCCTATAGCTCATGTGTTTGGAGTGTGGGGGAAACCGGAGCACCCGGAGGAAACCCACGCCAACAAGGGGCGTAGTCTGTACATCTCAGCACTGAAATGAGCTTTTTTTCTCCGTCCTGTGCCTGTCTCGGATCTCTCCTTTATCATCACATGTCCAGAGACGGCGTTTATTATATCAGTGCTGACCTCCATTAAACCCTCACCACTGAATTCAACCACAGCTTGTTATTATGACAGTAAGGCCTTTGTTTAATAGCCAATCCTGGGAGCGCTGTTTTTATTAAGTAAAATTGCTAATGCGGGTTTTTAAGAACTGCAGATCCACCCGTTCATTAAAAAACCTCAGCGAGACCTCAGTTTACTGAAAGCAGCTCATGTTAACGATCCTGTTGGTTATGCAGTGCATTGACTGGAAGGTTGAAAATAAGTTCACTTGCAGTTTCATTGGTATTATGCATTACATTTAATTTAATTGCTGTTTGTCATCCTAAATATGACTATATATAAAGACTTCTTAAAATATGTAGTCTCTTGTTTTTTAAAAGAAATGTTTTAAAGACCCAATTATACAGTCAAAAATATTTGAGTTAAAATTTTTATTTGGAGAAATTATTTATTTATTTATTTATTTATTTATTTATTTATTTATTTATTTATTTATCTATTACCTACTTTTTTATTTATTTATTTATTAGTTTTTTTATTTGCCTACATGTTTATTTATCCATTTATTCATTTATTTATTTATTTACCTACTTATTTATTTATTTATTTATTTATTTATTTAATTGCCTACTTGTTTATTTATTTACCTACTTATTTATTTACCTATTTATTTATATACATACTTGTTTATTTATATATTTATTCATTTATTTACCTATTTATTTATTTATTTATTTATTTACCTACTCATTTATTTATTTATTTACCTACAAATGTATTTATTTATTTACCTACTAGATTATTTATTTATTTACTCTTTTATTTAAATATTTACCTACTTATGTATTTATTTACTTACTCGTTTATTTATTTATTTACCTACTTATTTAATTATCTATTAATTTATTTATTTATTTATTTGCCTACTTATTTATTTATCTACTAATTTATTTATTTATTTACCTACTCATTTATTTATTTACTCATTTATTTATTTATTTACCTACTTATTTATTTATTTACCTTCTTATTTATTTGTTTTTTTACTTATTTATTTATTTGCCTACTTACCGACAAATTTATTTATTTATTTATTTATTTATTTATTTATTTATTTATTTATTTATTTATTTATTTAACAACTTATTCATTTAGCTATTTATTTATTTATTTATTTATTTATTTATTTATTTATTCATTAATGTATTTAACTCCTTACGTATTTATTAATTAAATTATTTATTTATTTAGCTTTTATTTATTTATTAATTTATTTATTACATATTTATTAATTCATTTATTCATTGATTAATTAATTTATTTATTTATTTATTTTGCTGTAGGTTTATTGGTTTAATTACCCACTTATTTATTTATTTGTTTATTTACCTAATTATTTACTTACTTTCTTATTTATTTGTTTATTTATTTATTTACCTACTTATATATTTATTAATTTAATTTATTTATTTATTTATTTCACTATAGGTTTATTTATTCATGTATTTATTTATTTATTGAATGCATTTATTTATTTGTGTATTTATTTATTTATTCACCTACTTACCTACTTATTGATTAATTAATTAATTAATTTACTTATTCATTTATTTTGCTGAGGGTTTCATTATTAATCATTTAATTTTGTGTATTTACTTACACATTTATTTATTTATTTATTTATTTATTTATTTATTTATTTAAAACTTAAATAATTGTTTATTTATTATATAAAATAATATAATCATTTTATTATACTAATTATTTGATAATTCTTTTTATAACACTACACTCTTAAAATGCTGTTTTGTATTATTGTAACCAACTGGCGAGTGACGGGTTGCAGCTGGAAGGGCATCTGCTGTGTAAAACATGTTTGGGATAAGTTGGCGACCCCAGATCATTAAAGGGACTAAGCCGAAAAGAAAATGAATGAATGTAACCCATATTTTTAATTGAATTTAAAGACATGGTTTAACCCAACTGTTGGGTTTATAGATTTATATATCACAGGAATGGGTTAATAAAACCCAGCATTTTTAAAAGTGTGTGCAAAGTTATGTTAATGTTTGTTTCTTTTTGTCTTTTTAGTACTATTATATGAATTAAAATATTTTACATTCACTTAATACATGTATTTTCTTGTGGATATAGCAAACTAAATAATGCAGTGAACACGAGTAAACATTATGTATGATACAAAGTTAGACATAAGCATTTGATTACTGCATTAATAATGCCAACAAGCAGAAATGTCATGTTTAATAAAGTCTGTTCCTTGCAATGTCTTTGTTTTTGATTGTTGAATTAATTCATTAATTCTGCTTATTTATCAGGGGTCACCACAGTGGAATGAACCTCCAATTGTTAAATTACCAAGGATTTTCATTCATTTCAGTTCATTTTCTTTCCTTTTTCTTTCAGTGCACTTACATACTTCACCAGTAGAGGGAGTCAGTCATAATTTTAAATGGAAGTCTATGCCTTTTTAAACTAACATTTCAACAATACAACACAACAATTGGATTTGATGTCGATAGTAAGAATATTATACAATAATACACATGTAATCAGTCATAGATGGAAAGAAGACCTCTTGGTTAACAGGAGCTCTGTTTATTTATGAATTGTGAATTTATGCAATGCATTTAATATATATGATGCTCTTCTTTCGCCATCTAGAGGTGATCTGAATAATCAACAAGAGAGCTAAAGTCAGGTTTCACCCTATGGTTTCACCTCTTTAATGTCATGCTAAACAAAAAAACAGGTTTTTGGTCTTGGTCTTTTGTCATGTAAAAACTGCAGGACACTCCAAAGACGGTATAGATACACACGATTCACATGTAGCCTATTTGCGTTTACTTAGACATTTATATTCAAAAAGCCTTTTTTCAGGTTTATGAAATACCCAGGGCCCGGTTTTTCAAAAGGTTTAATCCGGATAAAATTTATCCGGATTTAGTAATCCTGTTTTTAAGCCCTTATGCTGAAAGATTATAACAGTCTGATTTCTAACTGCAGGGCCCGGTTTTTCAAAAGGTTCAAATTGATCCGGATTTAGTAATCCTGTTTTTGCGATCCATGATCACGTAATCCAGCTTACTTTTTGAGCCAGTTTTTCAAAGCAACATCGGATTGGATCAATCTGATCCGGATAGGAACTTTTCAGGATCACTAAATCTGGATAACCAGTGCTCAAACAGGATCGGAAATCACAATGTAGAACTATAGATATGTAAAGAGTAGAATAACCAGCATGGGGTCAATATAACTTTATTTTTATTTGAAATGAAAATTTAATAATTATTAAAATAATAATAATAATAATAAATAAGAAAAACAAGAAAAACCCCACCCCATCCTCTTCCAGCAGTCCGCTCATCTGAGACCTACAACACTGAGGATATTTATAATAAGTTTCAAATATAGATGTAAATACATTAAAAAAAGACTTAATGTCAAAAACTGCACAATAAGTTCAGACTTCCTCATCTGATGTGGAGAGAGCAGCTTGTCTGAGCACAGCCTTTAGGAGGCGGATTTCAAGTCATTGGCCTTGGTTTGCTGCAGTTTGGTTAGGGTCAGTTGTTTCTCTGCCAGATGAAGCTGCGCTTCTGCCCTTTCAGTCTCTTTTTGCAATTGTTGAAAGAGATTTCAAAAATCAGCGATTGCCATTCTTTGCATTTTTTTTGTTGTTATTCTGTAATCATTGCATGCATCACTAATAAATATTCTAAAAAGAAAAATATTTTTCATTGTGATGAATATATATGTCAACTAGTGACAAAATAAAATGTATTGTTTTTGGTCAGTTTTGACAGCTGTTTGGCAGCTGTCATTATTTTATGAGGCCAAACTCGTTCTACTTTGTTGTAGTCTGAAAGGCTGAATAAGTTAAAGCCTATACTCACTATAGCCTGACAGATGAACAAATAAAATGAAAACCTTATGAATAAATAGTATATCTCGTAAGATACTGTATGATCCAAAAATAGTATTATTCAATAAAATGTTTAAGTTTTCATTACATTTTGGGCATGAAATCCACACTAAATCCACCCTTCTGATGGGATCAGTTTAATCCAGGTTTTTTGGATCAAAGTGATCCAGATCCTACAAAAAAGGTCTGAAAAACCCAAACTAAAGGTTTGATCCGGATCAAAACCAAGATTGGATTACGTGATCTAATCCGATTATGTAATCCGTTTTTTCTTTTGAAAAACCCATTTTCAAGATTTTATCCAATTCCTGATCCAAAATCCCAGTGGATTACTTTTGAAAAACCAGGCCCTGAACATGAAAAAGAACATCTGAAATGAACACATGAAAATTCATTCATAAAGGGAGTAATCTACTGTATGTAGATGTACTCATGAATTTTATTGACACTAAAGTATCTGTGAATGCCATTTTGTGTAAACAGCTGATTTCTATTGACTTTTGTGTTTAGCTTATACACTTAGGGGTGTCAAACTTAATTCTCGGAGGGCCGCAGCCCTGCAGTTTAGTTCCAACCCTGCTTCAACACACCTATCTGTATCAAACAAGCCTGAAGCACTCGATTAGTTTGATCAGGTGTGTTTGATTAGGGCTGGAACTAAACTGTGCAGAGCTGCGGCCCTTTAGGAACTGACTTCGACACCTGTGACATAGATATTAATAGAAAATAATGTCACGTACATGTGTGTTTGCAGCATGTGTACTGTTAAATATTATGTCAAACACGTTTCGCTATATAAATGAAGTTGTTAATTTTATATGAATGTAAATCTATACAGTGTATAATGATGTTTTTAAATGTTGTATTTTTTATGTATTTTATAAATGCATTTTATAAGATGTAGATCAAATATGTACCATTAACAACATTAAATATTATATAACTACAAGATATAAAAATGTGAATAAATTACATTAAACATTCTGATCTAATTATATTAGTTGATCATTAGTATAATCTAAAAAAGTGTGTGTATATATAACTTTCAGTGTATACAATAGTGTAAATACATATTGAGATTTTATAAAGGAAAGACTAAATCATTTATAAATGTACCTATTTAAAAAAATCATCCTATTTGAGACAAAACAAAAGCCATGGGTACATCTTTAGATTGAAAAGCTCACTTCTTAATCTTATTGTCTTTAATGTATATATTAATATCATGACGTTTTATATGTAAATATAAATGTAAATCTGCAACTCTATAATAGGCCTGGTTTCACAGAATAGGGCGCACACTAAACTAGGAATGTATTTTTTTATAATAAAAAATGTTTTATTAATATCCAAAACTACAAATATAATACTCAATAAGCTGAAAAATAACCAATTCAACAATTAGTACAGACAGGACACACAATTAGTTCAGAGACAGCACACAAACTAAACTAAAACTGTAATTTTTTTATATATATAAAAAATATTAATATCTAAATTTACAAAAATTATATCCAAACTTATACTCAATAAGTTAAAAAATAACAATATCAACAATTAGTATTATGTTCCTAACATAATTTCCAGTGTAAATAGTGACATATTGAGGTTTTATAGGTTAAATTATTGTAATTTTAATATTATTTAAACAATTTAAAGGGGGAAAGCATCAGTGGTGTCCATTTTGAGACAAAACAAAAGCCACGAATATATTTCAATGAATAATAAGCGAACGTTTCTTTCAGCTGAAACAGATTAACTTAGGTTACAATTTAAACTAAGAAATAAAGTGTGTGTGTTTCTCATTGTGTCTGATGCAATTGTTTTTTTAATGTATAAGCTAATAATGTTTTATATGTAAATATAAATGTAAACCTGCTTCACTATTTTAGACCTAGTTTCACAGACACGCCACAAACTAAACTAAGAATGTAATTTTTATTAACAAAACTATTAATATCCAAAATTAATTAATTAATTACTAATACTTTCCTTCTTAGACTTTACAGACCTGAAACTTGCCAATAGCACTTATTCATTGTTGCTCTTATAGTTGTGTAAATTGCTTCCTTGTCCTCATTTGTAAGTCGCTTTGGATAAAAGTGTCTGCTAAATGACTAAATGTAAATGTAAAATGTAAATGTAATGTAATACTCAGTAAGCTAAAAAAAAAAAAAAAAGGAATTTAACAATTTGTAGAATGTTCTTGACATAATTTCCAGTGTAAATAGCAACATATTGAGATTTTATAGGGCAAAATTATTGTTATTTAAATATTATTTAAATAATTTAAGGGGAAAAACATCAGTGGTGACCATTTTGAGACAAAACAAAAGCCACAGACACATTTTAAGATTATAAGCGCAAGTTTCTTTTCATTTGAAACAGCTCACTTATTTCTTAATCAAGTTTTTAATGTATATTATAATAATGTTTTATATGTAAATATAAATTTGCTACACTATGGGGCACAGACTATACAAGACTGTCATTTTTATTTAAACATGTTCTCAAATGAATATCTAAAATTACAAATTTAGTCAAAAAAATACTTCAACATTTAGTACTATGTTCCAGTTATTATCATTTTAATATTATTTAAATAATTTAAGGGTAAAGGCATCAGTGGTGTCCATTTTGAGACAAAACAAAAGCCACGGATACATTTTAAGATTAATAAGCGAAAGTTTCCTTCAACTGAAACAGATTACAACACATTTTAAATAAACCAAGACTAGTAAAACCGTGAAATAAATAGTGTGTTTCTCGCAGTGTGTGTCGTGAGTGTTTATTAGCACTTGTGAGGAGGAGCGAGTGTGTGTGTTCCTGTTGACTGTAAGTACACGTCAGCAGAGAGAGAGACCTCCTCATCCAGTTCACTTTCTCTTCCTGCTTACAACTTTGTTGCACATGACACTTTATCAGGGTGAGTAGCTCTTGCTTTACGAATAAACACACTTTCTACATTGAATAAGTGACATTATTAGCGCGCGCTTTGCTTGACGAGGCGCGAGTTTAGTTCGCGCCTTTATTCATGTGACAAACTCACCGTTGAACTTGTCTTGACAGAAACCACAATGTCCGCGTTTCACCTGAAAAATGCCCGGATTCTGCCCTCAACAGGCGTATAACAACAGTAAACATCCCATAATTCTGCTTTCCATGGTGCTTTGACGTCGAAAAATGAGATTCCGGTTGTTGAAGAAGAACTTTATTGTGTTCCTCGTTATTGTGATCGTCTTCATAATGTTGTTTTACACCATACGACGGACTAAAGATGACTCAAACATGGAGGAAACTGATAAAGAAAGCACACATACTGCTGTGATGGTTAAATTTGACTATGGAACCATCCAGAATATGAGAAAATCCATCTATGACAGCAACTACAGACAGTTTATCCAAAATGGAGATCAATTTCCCTTAGATCCAGAGGTGGTGATTGTGGTGCAAGTCCACAACCGGCCGGCGTATCTCAAAATGCTCATACAGTCCTTAGAAAAAGTCACTGGAATACAAAACGCACTTGTGATATTCAGTCATGACTATTTCTCTGAGGAAATTTCCGGTATGGTCAAGGAAATTGCGTTTTGCAGAGTTCTGCAAATTTTCTTTCCCTACAGCATTCAGCTTTATCCGAATGAATTCCCGGGACAGGATCCTCAAGATTGTCCGAGAGACATATCCAAGGATGACGCCATCAAAAAGGGTTGTTTGAACGCAAAGCATCCTGATTCCTACGGACACTACAGGGAAGCGTCGATAACGCAAACTAAACACCATTGGTGGTGGAAGCTGCATTTCGTATTCGAGCGAGTGCGAATTCTCCGAGGATACAACGGATATGTCGTATTCATAGAAGAAGACAACTATCTTCTTCCTGATTTCCACGAATACTTAAAATCAATGTCCGAGCTCAGGAAAACCAGTTGTGGTGATTGCGATGTTCTCGCATTAGGCAACCATAACAGTTTGTCAGGCTTTCACGAACTTTCTAGCAAAACCGAGACGTCAGGATGGCTGTCTACCAAACATAACATAGGAATGGGAATCACCAGAGAGCTCTACTACAAACTAATGGGATGCAACAACGCGTTCTGCACATACGACGATTATAATTGGGACTGGACCCTGCAGAACTTGTCCGGCACGTGCATTTCGAAGCCTATCAAGGTTTTGGTGGCACTCGGAAGTCGCGTTATTCATACTGGAGATTGCGGCCTTCATCAGAAAACGGACTGTCGGCCGGAAATGGCTCAGGAGAAGGTGGATTCAGCTCTCAAGGATGTCAAATCTATTCTTTTCCCGCCAATTTTAACGTTGACGGATAACGGGCCGGTTGTACATCAGCCTCACATGAAGAATGGAGGTTGGGGAGATATTCGAGATCACACGCTGTGCGTCAACTACGCCGCTCGACTCTGAACTTTATAAACGAGTGCCATTCAAAATATCAGGTTTACACGTTTCAGGATTAAAATTTTGCTTATACCAAAAATAGGAAGAGCTATAATGGTGTGTTCATGTAAATCTCACAAAAAATGGGTCGACATTTCACCACATAATCAAAATACACAAAAAAAATGATTGGGTTGTTATGACCCACGCTGTAAAAAATGTCCTTTATGTTGTCAGAGCAAAAATTGATTGGTAATTTGTTTTTATAAATTTAAGTTGATTGACCATAAAACAATTAAGTTGCCCCCCAAAAAAACTAAAAATTGTGTTTGAACTCCTTTGACATTTTTTTTATTGCAAAATTGGGTCAAATATGGACAAACCCAAGTGTTTTTGTTTTGTTTGTTTGTTTGTTTATTTATTTGTTTGTTTAGTGTCATTTTTGTTTTATTGAAAAAAAAAAATATCCAGCATTCGGTTTGTTCGTATTTGACCTAATGTTGGCAAACCTTCGGTTTTTAGACTATAGTTTATGCAGTTTTATTTTTATTTATTTATTTATTTATTTTTACCACAGATGTGTTGTAGAATTTACGCTTTAAAAATATGGGTTGTTTGTGGGTCAAATGTTGAGTAACTTGGGTTGGGTTGAAAAATGTAATTTAAATTTCATTTTAAAAAAGTTACTTAAAACAGTTGGGTTAATTATAATAATATTACAACAGGTAAACCAACTTTTTAATTGAGTAACTTTTTTTCAAAATTAAATTTAAATTACATTTTTCAACCCAGCGTAATATTTTTCTGGTAACCCAGCAGTGGGATAGTTCGGCACCAACCTGCTGTTGGGTTATTTTAACCCAATCCATTGGGTCGGTAAGGTTAACCCAATAATTAGAAATCCTATTCCAACTAGGTGATTTATTATGGATGCGATTCATTAAGCATTCAGATTGATTCAACATAGCAGCAATGTTTTTAAACCCTCTATTGGGTAAAATTTTTAACCCAACTTTGAGTGTACCAAACATTGGGTATGACAATTTTGGTCCCAATATTGGGTTAAAGCATTTCCACTAAGAAAATGTTTATAAATTTAGTAAATTATGGTAAATAACTAATAAAGAAAACAAACTAACTAAATTTTTTTTATTGTAAAATAAAGTAAAAACAAACTAGTTTTGCAGAACATTTTGCAATATTTACAATAATATTGGAAAAATATATTATAATAATGACCCACATTGAAATTTCATTTTTTTTTCTAATAAATGCAAACGAATGACATTAACCGATTGAAAAAACATAAAAATAAAAGCATTTCCTTGTAAAAAAATAAATAAATAAATTATATATATATATATATATATATATATATATATATATATATATATATATATATATATATATATATATAGACAGCTTTGAAAATGTTTTTTCAGTGCAGTTTTTCAATCATTTACTATAATACGGTTACTGTATAATGAGAGTTTTACTTTTTCATGATTGTAAAAAACTAAAAAAAACAAAAGCACTGAATTAAAGGTGAAATAAGTAAAAATGGTATAATAGTAATACTTTACTATGCTAAAACCCATCCAAATGCAAAAATAATCAATGAAAGCTATATATGAAGTAACTCTGCATATTTTTCAATGTGATAATGAGAATTTGACAGCAAATGAGCTTGATTTGTGTTAAAGTTCACACCAAAAACACACTTCTGCTAAATCTGGTTTAATTTTAGTTATGGGTGTGTCATCATTACAATAAAACACATCACATGGTTGATTTTGTGGTGAAATTTGACCCGATTCCTGAGATGAACGACATTTACACCAAGTTAAAAATTGCTTTATATCACTGACACTGTTAAAAGCTGGGGTTTGGGTCACTGTGTTTTATTAATTTCTTTTTCTTGTGAGGGAATTTCGTTATGAACCTTCCAGTGAACATTACACTGTAAAATAGCTGTTAATTAACCGTATTTTGTGTGTTTTCTGTTTGTTTACGGTTGTGAATTGCATTATGGGATGTTGATCTCTGATCTGTCGACTTCTGATGTTTAGAATTCTACTCTACAGTTTAACAAAGTGACTTTTATTGATACTTTAGTCTGAGATAATAATGTATACGTAATAATTCAAAGAGAAATAAGTCTGTAAAATAACAGATAATGTACTGGCAGTTTATTACTAGGTGTTTTTAGCGTAATATACAACACCAACACAGACAATATATAACTTTAAGTTATTAAAAATGCCAATAAAACTCACTTTTTTTTAACTTCTCAAGGTTAAAAAGTTGTTGCAAGACATATCAAGATCCCATAATGCAACTTGGAAGCATAAATAAACTGAGAAAATTAAAAATATAAGTCACAAAATACAGAAAACTGCTAATTTACAGATTATTTTTTACAGTGTAGTTTGAATGCAAGTCTTCCTTTTACTTGTGTTTTATAAAACTATTCCTGGGTTGTTCATTATTTGGGACCTATTTTGGTGGTGTGGTTTAGACGTGCGACTGTTTTGGACCTGAATTAACATGCCTTAAAAACAATGTTTGATTTGCGTATGGCTGTTTTGCATAATTTGCATGTGCGCTTTCCTCCTTTATTCCTCATCTTCTTGGTGAGTTTTTTTCTCACAGACAATAAGTCGATAATTTCTTTATCGCCTTAAATTGTGTTTAATATTTTTTGCATTAATATATCTGGAAGACAGGATTGTAGCATCAGCTTTTTTGGATTGGTTTGCATCCATTTTTTTTTTATTTTTTTTTAGGTTTTTGCATCCTATTCACTGTGATTTGATTGATTTTTCACAAATACGACACTTAATATATTTAGTGCACTCTGCAAAAAAAAGTCTTAAGTTAGCAATTTTCCATATTTTGTCATTCATGTTTTTATATTATATATTACAGGGTTCACACGCTTGAAAACACATAAAAGAAATAATGGATTTAAGGCCTGGAAGGTCTTGAAAATTTGAAAGGAAATTTGTTTATGGTTTTATTTCAACAAATGTACTCTTGTCAAAAACAAAAAACTGACAAAACCTATAACTATTAAATCTATTAAAATCGTTTACAATAACACTGACAAACAATGCACTTTTTATCAATATTTCAGAAACCGCATTTGAATATTACCAGCATTAAATTCGACATTGACATTTTTAGTGTACATAATAAGTATAAGTGAAACGTAAAGACTTTCATGGTGCTGCATAATGTATGGTGGGGTATGCTGACAAAGGCGCTTGATTTAAAACTAATGGTGCTTTAAAAGGTCATTGAAAGTCCTTGAATCTGCTGTTCATGAAAGTGTGGGAACCCTTATATTATTATTTATTTCTGCTTTTGATTATTCATTATGGGACCTTTATCTTTTCTCCAGCAATTTTCAATGTTGCAAAGAATGAAAGTGTTTATTTATTTATTTTTTTTTTAATAGTTTGCAGTACTATATTGTCTGCTTTGGTGTTGTATATTATGCTAAAAACACCTTGTAATAAGCTGCCAGTACATTTTCTGTTATTTTACCGACTTATTTCTCTAATTATTATTACTTATACATTATATTATTATCTCAAACTGCTAAAATGTGAATTAAAGTCACTTTGTTAAACTGTAGAGTTGTTTTTTTAACTTCAAAAGTCGACAGAGCAGACATCAACATCCCATAATGCAATTCACAACCGTGAACAAACACAAAAATAAATGATTAAATACGGAAGCTGTTAATTAATGGATATTTTTACAGTGCATGAAGTCTAAATGTGAAAACTTTAATTGCTTCAACTTAAAAACATTGAGTTTTTTTTTTTCAATTTAATCTGTGGTGGTTTTCTGAAGTGAACTTAAAAACTTAATTATTTTAAATTGATTTGTTTAAGTCAGGAGTGTCAAACTCTCTGCGCAGTTTAGTTCAGGGGTGTCCAAACTCAGTCCCGGAGGGCCGGTGTCCTGCATAGTTTAGCTCCAACTTCCTTCAACACACCTGCCTTGATGTTTGTGTGTACCTAAGAGCTTAGCTGGTTCAGGTGTGTTTAATTAGGGTTGGAACTTAAATATGCTGGACACTGGCCCTCAAGGACCGAGTTTGGGCACTCCTGGTTTACTTCCGACTCTAATTAAACACACTTGATCAAACTAATTGAGTCCCTCAGGCTTGTTTGAAACCTACAGGCAAGTGTTTTGAAGCGGGGTTGGAATCAAACTGTGTTGGGCGCTGGAGTTTGACATCGCTGTTTAAGTTGATGCAATGTTTTATTTACCAGTGAATTGTTTAAGTAGTGAAATGTTATCTGTACTTGACTTAGAGTCCAAGATATTCACCTTTGTGCTTTTTTTGGAGAGTTTTGAAGGTACAAAGGTACAGCTGACCTCATCTGTTTCCCCTTACACTGTAAAAAAATATCTGATAATGAACAGTTTCCATAATTAAGTGGTGTTTTTCATTTATTTCTGGTTGTGAATTGCATTAGGATGTTCATCTCTGCTCTGTCCACCTTTGATGTTGAAAATTCAACTCTACAGTTTAACAAAGTGACTTTTATTGACATTTTAGTAGTTTTGAAATTATGTATAAGAAATCATACATAGAGAAATAATTCTGAGTAGAAAATGTGCTGGCAGTTTTTTGTAGCGTAATATACAACACCAACCTAGACAATATAGCACTGAAAACTAATAAAAATGTCAATAAAAGTCACTTTTTTGAATTTTTCAAGGTTAAAAGTTGTTGGAGGAAAGATTAAGCTCCCATAATGCAATTCAAAACAGAAATAATTGGAGAGAAATAAATAAAAACATTATAAAATATAGAAAACTGCTAATTTACGGAGGTTTTTTTTTTTTTTTTTTTTTTCCAGTAAACACTTCCCCTTGAACTGTAAAAAATATCTGATAATGAACAGTTTCCATATTTTAGTGGTGTTTTTTATTTATTTACGGTTGACAATTGCATTATGTTCATCTCTGCTCTGTCCACCTTTGATGTTGAAAATTCAACTCTACAGTTTTATAAAGTGACTTTTAGTGACATTTTTAGTAGTTTGAAAAAATATAATGTGTAAAAAAAAATCATATATATATATGAGCGAGAGAGAGAGAGAGAGAGAGAGAGAATAAGTCTTTAAAATAACAGAAAATGGCAGGTTATTGCAATTTGTTTTTAGCACAATATACAACACCAACCCAGACAATAAAGCACTGCAAACTATAAAAAATGTCAATAAGTCACTTTTTTCGAACTTTTCAAGGTTAAACATTGTTGTAATAAACTATTAAGCACCCATAATGCAATTCAAAGGCATAAATAAATGAAGAAAAATAAATAAAAACG